TGCTGGGTTCATCGCCTCCCATGTCTGCAATCGTCTCATCCGAAACTACCCTGACTACAAGATGTAGTCTTGATAAGCTTGACTACTGTTCCAACTTGAAGAACCTCAATCCCTCGCGTCTCTCTTCTAACTTCAAGTTCATCAAGGGAGACATGGCTGGTGCTGATCTTGTCAACTTTATTCTTCTCACAGAGTCCATTAACACAATTTTGCATTTTGCTGCGCAAGACCCATGTCGATAACTCATTCAGTAACAGCTTCGAGTTTACCAAGAACAACAGACAACTCTAGCCAGAGCCGAATGGTTGTTTTAAACCCCAAGAACAATCCCTCTGCAAAAAAGTAATCTCTTATGGCAGAACAGGTTGGATTGGGGGACTTCTTGGCAAGATTTGTGAGAAACAAGGTATACCCTATGACTACGGAAGAGGGAGTTTGGAGTATCGATCCCAGGTGTTGGCAGATATTCAGTGTGTTAAGCCAACACATGTTTTCAATGCAGCTGGAGTGATTGGTAGACCCAATGTAGACTGGTGTGAATCTCATAGACCAGAAGCAATTTGAACCGATGTTGTTGGCACGTTAACCTTAGCAGATGTTTGCAGAGAGCATGGTCTCCTTCTGATGAATTATGCCACTGGTTGTATTTTCGAGTACGATGACACCCATCTGCAAGAGTCCGGAATTGGATTTAAAGAGTCCGACAAACCCAACTTCACTTGTTCTTTCTATTCCACAAACAAAGCCATGGTATACCTTGAGCAACAAGTTCCTTTTCTAACTTCACTGCATATGTACATCATGTTGCTTTCTGTCTTTTGTATGAAGGTTGAAGAGCTCCTGATAGAATTTGACAATGCCCATATCGATTGATCTCGCCAACTCGAGAAACTTTATCACGAAGATCACTCTGATATAACAAACTTGTTAACATTCCAAACAGCATGACAGTATTAGATGAGCTTCTTCCCATTATAGTTGAAATGACAGAGAAATTTAAAGGGTACATGGAACTAAAACTCAGGTGTTGTGAGTCATAATGAGATTCTTGAGATGTACAAGAATTATACTGATCCTAGCTTAAAGTGGGTCAATTTCACCCTGGAAGAACAGGCCACAGTTATGATTGCACCTCGAAACAACAACCTATTTTTTGTTTCAGACGAATTCAATAAAATTCTATGTTTTCCAATGAAATCAAACTCGTTAACTTCAAATATAATATAAAGATTTTAATAACTGAATCACGGTGAAGCAAATTCTAGTTCTTAATCAATCTCCGTATTATAATTTGGTTTCCAAAGTTTTTTTCTAGTTATTATTTGATTATGAAATTAGTTACAACTTAAGTTACTAAATTTCTAAATATATTTCTTTCTTAGTTCTAATATTGTCGACATGGCCTACTTCACCTCTTTGAAGAATTACTTCAGACGCTCTCGGCTACATCCTGATAGAAGCTTCATGGTTTCCCACCACGGCATCCTCTTCTGTCTCTCCATAAG